GGAAATTTCTAAACAAAAAATCATTTTGAATCAAAACACTTTATTTCAAAAATGTTGAAACAAAACATTTTTATTCTGAATTTTTGGAGGGTTTTTTTTTTGTGTGGGGGGGAGGTATTTTTTTTTACCAAAACAACAAAATCAAACCAAATTCCTAAAATGTTTCAGTCAACCAGAATCTGCATTTGTCAGCAAAAAAACAAAACAAAAACAAAACAAAAGTCTTATCCAAAAAACTTCACCTAGTTCTAGTTAGGAGGGAGGGATAGCTCAGTGGTTTGTGCATTGGCCTGCTAAACCCAGCGTTGTGAGCTCAATCCTTGAGGGAGCCACTGAGGGATCTGGGGCAAAATCAGTACTTGGGCTTGCGAGTGAAGGCAGGGGCTAGACTCTATGACCTTTCAGGGTCCCTTCCAGCTCTATCAGATAGGTATATCTTCATATATTATATTAGTTGAAACTTTTGCTCCCCTTGAGATTCTGACATTTGCGGAGTTTATTTGGGGAATTTAACCAGGTCATGAGATTTATTCTGAAGCTATTTCGTCATAGGAGCTCTGTACCATAGTCCACTTTACCCAGTCAAATGCCTTTTAGTATCTGGGAAATAAGCCAGGCGCTATAGGAGAAAGGATATTGAGGAACAGAGAACCACTCTTGGATAAATTCAGTTTCAGCTTAATGCACAAAAGAAGTTTTCACTTTACACAATCTACCTGCTGTTGAATTGTAAAAATCACCATTTAATAATCATTGGCTGAGACCAGGAATGATCTTCAACCTTCTCCTTCCCCTCCCCCCCCCAAAAAAAGAATCAAATAAATATTAGCTAGGGATATTTACATTCCCCTCTATAAATTCTGGATCCCAGCTGCCTCAGTACCAAATCCCCCTCACTGAGCCATGCACTCAGGTACACACACATGGGGGGGTGAGGGGGGGGACAGAATGAGAAGCAACTCCCAGACTTCAATGCAGAGAATTACATCCCAAAAATTCATCGGCTGTAGCAGGGTCTTCAGCTCTCCCACTCCACTTCACTCCACTTTGCCCAGCGTGCACTCCAGAGACGGGATGAGAGCCCAGGGGCTCTGTACGTCCTCCAGGAGCATCCGTGCTGCTCAGACCTCCCCACAGAGACACGTTCAGACCCTCCATTTCACAGAGAGGAGTAATGAAACCTCCCCTCGATTTTCCACGCGTCTGAGCTGCAGAACTAGAGCCTGATCCAGAATCTGTTGACTTCAAACAGGTGACAGGTGATTGACTGCAGCAGGCTTCGGATGAGAAGCTGGATTTCTACCCCCTTCATAGAGCAGTTTCTTGCCGGCTGGCTCTGGCTTTCCCTCCAGGATTCTGTCTGCCATCAGCAAGTGTTTTGGTCAGTCCTCCCCCCTTAGATATTGGGGTCAGAGACAGCCCCATTGCTCTTACCTGCACAAACAGGTGTCTCTTTCAGAGCCCAACAATTTCTCCAGCATGTTTTCAGCAATGCATGTGCCCAGTGCATCATTTCCCAGGATCAGAACATTCAGGCCGGTCTGCCATGTGTTCCACTCTTCCAGCCATCACATAGCTGGCTTTGGTCAGTACCTTTGGTGCATTATTGTCTCCCTGATCTCTAGTCCATGGATTTCCTCTCCAGCCCCGTCACACTCGGGGCCAGTGGGAGAAAGAGGCTCCGACCTTTCTTCTTCCACAAATCTTCCATAACTCCTGCAGACCCCAGCGCTCCTCCAGCCAAAAAGGAAGGCTAGAATTGGATCACTGAGATAGACAGTGCTGGCAGAAGTGAGCAAAATCCACCTCTGGGTGGAGAAACCAGTACGAGCCTCAGCACCTCGCTGGACCCAGACCTGTGCAGGGGAAAACCCCCCACACACATACACCACACACACAACCATTCTAGGGCAGGGATTGCCAATAGACAGATCATAGGCCACATCCAGACCACCAGATCCTTTTGAACGGACCCTGAAATCTCTTCATTTACTTCACCGTTATCATTATTAATTTTTTATTATTATTATTTTCTTCTCTGGAGTCTGCACCTTGACCAAGAAATTTGGACTTTGACAAAAACGAATGGAATACCCCTGTTCTAGGGGAACTAGGCCTCCGCTCCCCCCTGCCCCCCGCCTTGGGGGGGAAACTGCAGAGAGGAGCCAGCCAGGAGGGGGCGAAAGCAGCCAAAGCCAGGATTTCTGGTTCTTCAGAGAACAATCTACAGCTTTGTCTCTGCCCTGTGCTGATCAGCTGTTTGCTCCAGGCTCCCCGTCCCTTCTCACAGTCTCTTCACCTCATCTTCACTCCACACCTCCCCCTCCTTCCCTTCCCTTTAGCTGATCCCCTCCAACCTCCCTCTCAAAAAATCATGGAACACCCCTACACACACATGCCTTGCTGGTTGTTTTTATTCCTCCCCACACACATACCCCTTGTAGGCGTCTTTCTTGTAGAATTTGCAAAGTTTGATTAGCAGTGCAAACAGACGCCCATCATGAGAGACCCAATGGTCAGCCAGGGAGCCAAGTGCCTCCTATCCCCTGCCTGGACAAAACCTGTTTATCACTTTCTGGTGGCCACTCTTAACTAACGCACCGTCAGAACCTCAGTATAGAGACAGAACTCCTTAAATATCATCCATCTCACAGGCTTCAGCTGACCAGTGCATCACTGGCTCTTGGCAGAGACCTCACGCGCCACCCTTTGGCACACTATTAGGTAGACGATAGACCCAGGGGATCCCTGGAAACCCCACGCGCCCCCTTATGTCCTCTGGCTGTTTGCCTCAAGGGATCTCTGGGTCACACCTCTCTTCTTACAGTAAGGGCAGCCACTGGCTGTTAATAAGCGTCCATTCAGAGCTTTTTTGCCTGGACAGTGTATCAGAGCCCGCATTTGCTTTGCCCTTAATATGTACAATTTCCACAGGGGATTCTTGAAGTGCGATGCACCAGCCTTCCTGTTCTTCGCTCTGCTGGTGCAGAATCCCCCACCCCCACCCCCACCCCCCCGGTGCCTGTCCTGTCTGTTCAGATGATCAGCTGTTTGGGGGAGCTCTTCTGCTCTCAGTGTCTGTGTCGCGCACTGGGGCCCCATTCTCAGCTGGCCAGTGGGCACTACCTTAATAAACTAATTAATTAATGTTTAAAAAAGGCCTATCCTCCATGTAAATCCGGCTTGAGCCTTCAGAGTCAGACTCGGGCAGGGCGACGGCATTAGGCTGCTGCCTCTCACCAGGCAGAGGGAATTTTGCCCGCTGCCATCAGCTCTGTCTCGGAGCCAGTGGTGCAGGGATGGACTTTCCCAGGGTCGCAGATCCCAAGGCCCGAAGGGACCATGGGGATCATCTAGTCTGACTTCCTGCGTAGCACAGGGCAGAGAACTGCCCCCAAGGAATCCCTGTTTGAACTAGCGTGGATCTTTTGGGGGGCTGGAGGGAGGGGAACCATCCATCTAAAAAAGGCCAGTAGTGGAGAATCCACCATCACCCCTGCTCCCATCGTTCATCACCCTCACGGTTAAAATGATATTTCTAGTCTGAACTGGTCTGGCTTCAACTTCCAGCCGTTGGATTGGGCTGGACCTTGGAGCCCATTATCAAATATTTGTTCCCTACAGAGTGTGACCAAGTCGTCCCTCAACCTTCTCCGTGTTAAACTCAACAGTCTGAGCTCCTGGGGTCTCTCGCTAGGAGGCAGGCTTTAGGATCCTTTAATCATTGTGGAGATTGAGATTTTGTCACAGTTATTTTTAGTAAAAGTCCCAGACAGGTCGCGGGCAAGAAACACAAATTCATGGAAGCCTGAAACCTGTCTGAGACTTTTACTAAAGATAATTGTGGGGGGGA